CGCATATATTATTGTTGCCTTTAGAAGGGGAAAAAAATTATATGAAAGAATATTTTGAGATATTGTGAGGCTGGCATAATCGCATTTAACTGCAAGCTTTTCACTTCTATATGTACTGGCTATGACTTATTTATTCAGACTACACGGCTCGAACAAATGCCGTTGTGGCGATCTCATCTCAAATGTTGTTGTCATCTCGTTAAACAATACTATAAAGTGCTTTAGTTTTGAAAAAGAATATGGTGTACTGTATTAATATTCGTATTATTAATAAAATGCTCATTTTGGTTTGTACGACGACATTTTTAACTGTGAGAATCATCCAGCTGGTTCGACAGGTAATGGTAATTTCCGAAGACCCACCCCCACGGCACCACTCTAAATCAGAATGTACCAAAAAGAAATTGTTCCGCATAGTAGCAATAAGATTAACCGTAATGCTGTGCTGATTATTACAGTGCATTATTAAGTGAGTGCTTGCTTTTAAAATATCGGCTGCTGTTTACAAATTGGAATCGAAAAAATTGATGCACTGCTAGCAATCATCGGGAATGAAACGCATTTGTCCAAAATGACTAGTTTATTCGCAATGTAATTGAACTTTTCTATAGTATCAGAATACAGCTCTCATTTCTTTATCGAGTGAGATGTGCGTCGGCTTTGGGAAACTTTCTTTACTCTGCTGAAGTTCTTGTGACTGAGTTTTCGCTAAACCGCAAAGATGACATTGATGATGTGATCAGAGCTTTGCAAAACTTAGATAAATTAATCAATGACAAAGTAAAATACCAAACTGCCATTATTGATGAAATTTGCCTACACAGTTTAGTCAGTCAAAAGTGTTGTTGCTCTTTTCACGTCCTTTAAGGAAGTTTTTGACTCCTTCCAGATCCAAGTTTTGAAATGTCTGAAGCACTATTGAGATATAACATCTGTACTGCTGTAAGATAAACAAGAATGCTGCTTGCCTCATATCTGCCACTCCCAAAATATCCACAAGGTGAGATGCTGTGAGGATTTAGTGATTTGACACCGCCCACTGCTG